CATAGCAATATCGATCGCCGGGCGGTCACATCTTGCCACGCGCTCGAAGTGGGCGGTAGGCCGGCCTAAGACAACGATTTTTAATAATTAATTACTCGTTAACTATTACGAATATTGCAAAATGGTACAGGACTTTTCTGTTCATCTCGATCCGTTCTTCCTTCTCAAAAATTTTGTCGGATATGGAAAGACTCACCCTGTATATAATCTTTATATTTCGTATTGTGTAATGCATTATGCTAATCGGATTGCTGTTTTCCAGGTCGGTATCAACGAGTCTCTCACGGTGAATCTGGAGATGCTGTGCGACTGCGAGTGCGAGCGTAAGGGCCATATGTACGAGGAATACTCGGCCGAGTGCAACGGCATGGGTACGCTCAAGTGCGGCGTCTGCGAGTGCTACGACGGGTTCTTCGGCAAGCACTGCGAGTGTAGCTCGCACCAGGAGCTAACCGGCTTCGACAAGCACTTCCAGTCATGCCGTCCCGACAACACCACCCTCGTCGACTGCTCCGGCCGTGGCACGTGCGCCTGCGGCCAATGCGAATGCGAAGAGCGGGAGAATCTAGACGAGGTATTTCCCCAATTCATCCCCAAGCAGTTGGAGAAATTCTCGTGTGACGGATTCCGTTTAACTTGCGATGAGGAAGATAGATAAAAATTAAAAGTGAACGAAATTAAACGGAACCGGTATAAATAAGCGTAATTGTTATAACAATTGTTTGCGCGGGTGATATTTGCGGCATCACAAATTTATATTTTTGCAGATAATATCGGGACACTTTTGCGAGTGCGATAATTTCTCCTGCGATCGTGATCAGGGTAAGCTCTGCTCTGATCATGGCACTTGCGAGTGTGGTCAATGTGTCTGTAATTCTGGCTGGACCGGACCATCCTGCAGCTGCAGGTCTTCCAATGATTCTTGCATCGCGCCGGGAACCACAAATGGTGTGCTTTGTTCGGGCCATGTAAGTGACAGCAGAAAGGCTACATATACAGGCGCTTATATACGGCTGTTTTAGTAATTAGAGAAGAGATTTATGTAACCACAAGTCTTAAAAAGCTAGGAGATTGTTCGCAAATTGAGTCTCTCATTTTTCGCTTTGTAAAGGGCGACTGTATTTGTGGCGAGTGTATCTGTCACGAGGAGGGCAACATTCGCTATTCCGGCAAACATTGCAACAAGTGCCCGACCTGCCCGAGTCGCTGCGAGGAGCTGAAGCCCTGCGTGCAGTGCCAGATGTATGGCACTGGCAACTACAGCGATCCGGACGAATGCGCCAAGAACTGCAAAGAGTTCGTGCCCGAGGGCGTGGAGACGGTGATCGTCGACGTGGACAACGACGAAGTGCCGTGTTTCGGCACGGACGAGGACGACTGCAAGTACAATTTCGTTTACTATTACAATGAGACCAACTGCCTGCAGGTGCGCGCTCAAAACGAGCGCGAGTGCCCGCCGCAGGTCTACATGCTCGGCATCGTGCTGGGCGTGATCGCGGCGGTAGTCCTCATCGGTCTCGCATTGCTCTTGCTGTGGAAACTGCTAACGACTATACACGATAGACGAGAATTCGCTCGATTCGAGAAGGAAAGAATGATGGCCAAGTGGGATACGGTACGTATCTTTCGTATTATAAGTTATGATCAAATCGCGATTTTAAGGATTCAACTTTGCTCCCAATTTCTATTGTTAACGGAAAGACATCTCGAGTACTAAAATAGTTGATAATTTTTTAAATAAAATTACATCAATAAAAAGATAACATACTAAGACTAATTGTCAAAGTCTCATGTAGAATTATATGGTAATGATTTTAATATTTTCCTTTTGCTTTCTAGGGAGAGAATCCGATCTATAAGCAAGCGACTTCCACTTTCAAGAATCCAACCTACGCCGGAAAATAATGCGTCTCGAAACGGAGGAGAAGATAACGTGTGATTCTTAAGAAAGAATCGCATCGTCGCTGCGACTTGATGCGATTTCAAACAACTCGCAAATAATTGCAAGTACCGATCACGCGCGATTCAATATCTTGTCTCGAACTTAGCAAGAGTCTGAATTACGCCAAGACCTCAACGACATAACGAGATCTAAAGCTAACGTTTTAGCGTATATAATTATTTAAAGGAACTAATATTTAGATATACATACGGTATACTCTATTTTTTGTTGAGATATTTGTAAAGAATGACTTAATACTGCCATATAACATAGACTGCATTTCGGATGCGTGCGCGCGCGATGAAACGCGCTATTTGTAAACGAAGTCGTTACATTTTATGGCGATCATGTTTTAAAAACCAGACTAGTTAGGCTAATTCTGAGACTCAAGTGCCTTTAATATCATTATCATGATAATATCACTACCACGCTTGCATTAACTTTTTTTTACATGTCTTACAATATACGTAACGACGTATCGGATGTCACTTGATGTGTGAGATAATTCAGAATCTGAAGAAACAAATCTATGCTATTTTACTTTGTTACGTTAGCTATATGTGTTATATGTATATTTCTGCATTAGGATAAAATGTTATTACTTTAAAGATAAAGAAAATTAAAACTTGTGAAAATACTACGTAATGGTTTTTGCAGAAATATAAACTGGAATGACTCACAAAGTGCTGCAAACTTATCTTTCAACAGCAAAGTAATTTGACAGATAAGAAACTTGAGCATTTATTAGCACCTCGAGACAATCAATTATAATAGCTCGAGGATTAATTATTGAAAAGGATCATTGAAACACAAAAGCGGTTACTTCCGGGACGAAGCGAAATAAGACGTACGTGAATCTTTTATTTTTTCTTCAGCGCTCCATTCTGAAGTATATTGCACACATTAAGTTACATCTCTGATATATTTGCTACGTGAAAAAAAACGTTTTCTCTTTTCGATCAGAAACGAATAACTATCGAAGATTTTACGCACTATTTACCAGTGCAATTTATAAGATATACTTTACACAGCGAAATCCGATGAATTTGCATTTACCTGCGAATTTTTCATCCTGTAATGTAATTGTTTTAATCGTTAGAGCGTATTTTTGTGCAACTAAGGACTCGAAAGTGTGTTTATAGGAAATTGTATAAATGTATAAAGTACTGTCCGAGACCCATGTAGAAGTAAGTTTACTCCGTGTTATAACGTTAGCTCGAAGATGATGACTGCACGATTATGACTCGCGTATTATTTCGTAAAGATATATATAAAGTTATATATATATATACACACATATATAGGATGCGCCTTAATTAAATGTCAATTCTTTACGGGGTAAATTTAAAACCAGCGCAAAAAAAGATGACGGATAAAATTTTATTTTTATTTTTTGAATCGTGATAAGATAAAAAGAAGTCCAAACGCACGTCTCCTATTTCCGCTGCAATTTTGCGAAAACAAGAAGTAGAAAAAAAAAGTTGAAAAGTATTTCAGAATTGAAGTTTTCTACATTTTCGAAAATCGTCAAAGTTATTGGAATTTATTTAAAAGTCCACACGAATAACAACGAAAGGACTTTGAGAATTAAACATGATTATTTTTACGCGAATTAGTACTTAATTAGTTATCCACTTTGTAGTAATAAATTATAAATCGTACGTCTCTACTTTGAGACATTCTCAGCGACGCAGCGATAAGAGTCAAAAACAAACTTGGCCGATTTTTCAAAGGTACCGAAAGACGCGGGTTTAACTCTTTGTCTAATTGTTTTCGAGATAGAAACAATTGCGGCGGAAGGCGGAGATTTCAATTTGTAAAGCCTGGACGAGCTACGTAAAACGTTCGTCTCGTCTCGGGCTGCGAATTTCCCCGTAGATAAACTGACATACAACTAAGGGGTCACCCCGTACGTCACGTAGTCAATCGGTTACGATATTTCTAACGTAGGAGGAGTAGACGAGGATTCCGGATGATACGCGGATTATAAATACCGAAGGTAAACAGTTGCTTGTGCGTGACAGCTGGATTATTTATTTCAGTCTTCTCTCTATTCGTGAATCTCGCGAGGAGCCAGATCGATCCGGAAGGACTCGGGAGATGCAGCGTGGCCTTCTCTCCATTGTGCCACGAAGAAAAAGAGACTAATAATAGCGCGGTAGACGCGAAATCGCGAGCCCGCCGCGCTCGTTATACACAATTATATATCGTGTTGTTTGTCTAAACCGTTTTACTCTTTTTTTTATGATTTTTTAATGGCTAATTTTACGGTACAGCTAACCGCGTCCTCGCGACATTATTAATCGCCGTTTTTCTTTTATATATGTATACATATATTATATAACTCCAACGAGAATTAATTATAGTCGATGTTACTCCACGTGCGATAGTTCGCAAACCCGATATAGGACTATATGTAAACCTTTTGCGAGGACTAATAAAGATGATGTGTTAGTAAGCGCCGTCATTTCCTCATTCGCAGGGGGCTGCCCTGGGAACCGCTAGCTAGGGGCGCTTTGCGGGTCATTCTGGGTCAGAATGGCAGGAGGGCACGAAAGATCGATTTGCGGCAAAGATTAACGAGAATATTGACCGATGTTCGTCGCGTACGGCGGCCGCGCCGCGTATCCGTGCGTGTGTCGCGGCGCGTGGAGAGCGAGAGAGAAAGGAGAGAACACACGTTGGATTATCTCCGTACGCGCTCTTCCTTTTCTTTCTATCATATCATACCGGCTTTCTTTCCTCCTCGCGGTGTCTCAATTCCGCGCATGGATGCGACTCCTTTCCCCGTCGTTAAACTTGTTACTTCCGGAGCGTTGTCGAGGTCATTACCCGGTAAACACCACGAGTAACAGTTACATAATATTAATATTATAATTTCCTACTCAACAATGCAAATGTAATATAACATGCGTGTTATATCAATCAATCTTCCCTAGTAGCACACTGCATTGGCTAAACATTGGTCCAATGTTGGTTATATTAGAAATGCATTGGCCGATATTATCCAACGTAAGACCAATATTGGCCATGGAATAAATGTAAATATTGCACGATAATAATTATATAATATTAGATTTATATGGGAAGTGCATTGGCCAGTATATTAACAATATAATAAGAATATTGGTCTAATATTGATACATTATTAAACAAATATTGCTAAATAAGAGAAGGCGTCCGTCTTACAATATTGGACCAATATTGAGAGTATTAGATTTGCATTATTTACCAATACCCTAGTGGAAAAATTTCTATAAATAACTACAAAGAATTGACTTGGAATTTGTGGAAATTTTTATATCTTGGTCGAAACATTAATTTTTTGTAAAAATATCTACGAAATAGTACCACAAATTACAATGTTCTCAAATCAAGAAATTATTGCAAGTAGTATTTCATGAAAATGTACAATTTTATAAAAATGAGTACAAAACTTTACTAGTTTTAAAAACTTGAGAAACAAGAAAATCTGAAACAATTAAAACGTCTGCTTTTTACGTAGAATTTCTTAGATTCTGGCAGTTATATTTAATTTTTTGTACAATTTTGTAGAATTATTTCCGGCAGGGTATCGCGCCAATATATTGCGCTACTAGGGTTTATTACACTTAAATTCAGCTTACATGCCAAGAAGTGGGACTTGCGTTTTACAATTATACTCTTGCCTCATACGCACTCTCATTAATTTCCCTCCATTTCCCGTACCGCGTTCTATCCCTAACTGTACTATTTAAACTTACTCTCACCCTATTAACATGCGTATCATATAATATTTACATTGTTGAGCAGGAAATTATTGATGTTATGTAACCGTTACTTTATATTCCCTGGGTAGCATTTTCTTCCCGAGGGAACCACGCTGTCCCGAATCGCGCGGCATCATCTCGAATCGATTACGAGTCCCGGAAGGGAGTTCTCGGAAATCGAGGAGAGCTGTTTGTCAACGATAGATACGCTGATTGTGCAATCGAAAATAATACAAATATGTATCGAAAGTGCGTCACATATTTTACTCGTTATCTCAACAGATCTGTTTATCTGTGAGAGGGAGAGACGTCTCCCGACGTACTCTCTCGATGATTCATCCTGTATTTACTTCAACAGCCGTACTACGTTCTCCATTAATTTCAACGATAAAGCCGCGCGCCAAATGTTTCGATATAACATATGCTAAAGTATGCGCCGTATCTCTTTTTGTACAATTAAAATTTAACGGCAGTTTCGTAAGCGGTAAATGAATGGTTGGACGGCCGGTTTACCTCGCGCGGCGTTAAATGTTAAACTAAACGAACCGGCGAGTATCGCCGATTTTCCTTGCCGCCGCGAGGAATTAATTATTTGCGTCGAGCAGGATGAATCGCGGGAAGAAGTAACAGCGATTGTTTTACAAAGGTGCGAGGCCTAGAAAAATTGGACTGCTCCTTGCATCGACGATTTAAGGAAACACATTTTATACTGTATTTCGCATTTCTTATTTTGCCTTTATCTTGGAAATTATCAGAAATCGCAACAAAGGAGCGACTCTGCCTCGTTGTAATTTTTCAATTCTCCAACGATTTAGTAAAATAATTAATTAATTTTGGAGTAACGGGCAAAATGTTGAAACCAAATATCGCAAGAAATGATTGCTTTCTGCCACGTTTTATCGCAGTTTGAGGGCAAGAATAACTTTGAGCGTCGAAATATCTTTTCAAACTGAAACTTTAGGAAAAACGAGAGAAAAAATACACATAAATGGTATGACAAGCAACATAAAAACAGATTTTTTGCGGTAAGATAGTGTCCCTTCAAAGATGATGAAAAGAATTTCCTTTTGCAAAGCATAAACTCGAAGAAAAAAAAGAGAACAAACAAGTTGAGACTCACGATTACGTCAGAAAGAAAGAGGGGGGGGGGGAAGAGTAAGTCGCTGTAAAAAAAAGAAGGGAACTGACCTACGCTACAGTGTCCTTTTAAAGCGCGCGGGGAATCGACCAATCGCGTGCGTGGTACGCGGCGCGACACTCGTCACTTCTGGACCCCCCCCCCGGGATTGGTCGACTTTTCTTACATATTTCAGTATACGATTTCAACGTAGCTATAACTACAGTGCTGTTTTAATTGGAATATTGAACTCGTTGAGAAAATATGTATTGGAGAACCTGTCACAGCTCGAAACATTTTAACTCGATTAAAACGCGTCGCGGACACGAAAGGGACAGTAAACTGGTTTACTGATATTTCACAGAGCACGTTTGCCCCGACTAGTTTGCCTACTTTTTAACAGACCGACAAGTGTACCGGAATCGTTAATGAAGAAATATAGCGTGCAGCCGAGGAATTAATAACGATGATCGAGAATGAGTAAACGGTACCGCGAGAAAGAGCCAGCTGAAGTAAAGGATATTACGCAGATGCGTTCGCGTGGGAGAAAGAGAACAGGTTCCACGTCGATTTCATCAAATGTTTCTCTTACGAGTCTATTTTTTCGATTCGCGAAAAGTTAAACAAAAGTACAGCCGACGAAAAATAAATACGATCCTACTTAGCCTAGGGCCCGGTTTCACCAAACGTCGCTTAACTTTAATCTTAGTTTAATTCGCGTTTGTCTCCTTCTAACAGTTGGACAAAAAGGTAGTTGTTTCGCGACAGTAATGCTCAAAAGTTTCTTCCAGACAGAAACCAGCACTCAATTATTACAATATCTTGATGCAATATTGTTCTAAAGAATACACTTACGTCGTTCAACTTTAAGCTTAATTCGTTCTTTGTCTCCTTGTCTGTTACCTTAGAAAGAGACAATCGTGAATTAAACCAAGATTCGTCGCTTAAAGCTTAGTTTAATTCGTTCTTCGTCTCCTTCCAGCTATCACCTTAGAGGCAAATTCACAAACGTGAATTAAGCTAACAAAAGATCAAAGTTAAGCGACGCGTGGTGAAACCAGGCCTTTAACCGAATAACGGGAGACGCGCTTCGAAATGTGCGCAAGTTTACGCGACACGAGGCCACCAGCGCTTCTATCCGCGCGCACGGGAGAAGGAGATTTCGGTCTTCCTCCAAAGATTCTCCGATCCTTGGCTTCCTTTCGCGAACGAAAAAAAAAAAAATCACGCGATGCGCAGCGCGTAGCGATAAGCGCAAACTCGCGTGCGACTGTCACGTGTTGTGTCCGCGCGAAGAGTGGGAGCGAAAGACGAAGAAAAGAAAGAGCGAGGGAGAGAACGAGAGTGGGAGTGCGGAAGCGAGGCGCTGAAGAGAGCGCGACGTATATACACATATATATACGAACGAAATAATGCTAGAGCGTATACGTCAGTCGGCCTCCATCGCGCGCGCGTCATCGTCGGGTCGTCGTAGAACGGCGCACAAAGTCGCATCGTTTCGCAGCCTCCTCGGCGAGACTTCGCGTCGGCCTGGCCGTCGTCGTCGTAGACGCGAGCTCATCCCCCGTGGAACGAGGGAATTGCGTGCGCGCGTCCTCACGCGGGTACAACGGCCCGTTAACAATCGAGCGAGAGAAAGAAAGAGAGGAGAGAATAGAATCGCCCGAGTGTGTGCGTGCGTGCGTGTGCGTGTCGGTGGGCCATCAGGGTGACGGGGGTGTGTTGCTTCTCGACCAACAGCTGTAGCCGCTGCTCCGTCTTTCTCCGTCTCGTTTCTACGCTCCATTCTTCGCCCGTTTCCCCTTCCCCGTCCCCGACGGCGACGGCGGCGGCAGCAGCAGCAGCAGCAGCGAGGAAGACCCTCCGCGGGGCGGACGTCGTCGCGTCGCACTCGCCCTAGAGGCTGTCACGCTATTAATATACCCTTCCGTGGCGCACGACAGTCGTCCACGATCGTCTTTGGAGCGCGGACGAGGCGGGGAGCGTTTGCCATGCACGGCGAGTAGCCGTGCGGTGCAGCCGAAAGAGAGAGAAAGAGAGAAAGAGAGAGACGCGCGCTGTGCCAGGGCACGTGAGGCGCGAGACGAGGGGCGAGGGGGAAGAGGCGCGTCGCGCACGCTGGACGACCGCCGTCGGCGTCGACGACGACTACGACGACGACGACGACCGACGGGCCCGCGAGCCGGGGACGATGGAGCGACTCTGGGTACGGGAGCGACTCCTGGCCGGTCGCCGGCTCGTGATACGCGCCGCGGAGTGGCTCCTGTGGGACGTGTGCTGCTGGATGTATCGTCGAGCGATGGGGATCGAGGTCGGGCGCGATAACGGCGACGGCAACGCGGCGTCGACGTCGACGCCGCCGCCGCCTCCTCCACTGCCGCCGTCGCCAACGTCGTCGTCGTCATCGTCCCAGGAGGTAGCGTCCGCGTCTCCGGCGTGCCGGAGCGAGGTGTGCCGGTACTGCCGCGCCGTCGAGAAGACGCTCCTCTGGGAGGGCTTCACCTTCTTCGTCAACCTCTACGTGATCGTCATGCTCAACACGATATTCTGGTGAGTGCTGCGCGCGCACGTTGTTACAAAGTCTCACCTCCTTCGGCCGCGCAAGCGTTACGAAGAGGAGAGGCGGAATCGCGGAAAGGGGTCCCGCGTACTCCCGCGCGAGCGCCTTTCGTTTTTCGATCGCGCCGCCGGCTCGTTGCGACATTCGCCGAGATCCTTCGCGTCGAACAAGACCCACCTCCGTCGTTCCTTTCTTTTTCGATCATCGAGCGACTCGTGTCTCGCTACGCTCTTGTCTCCAATGCGATCTTGGCTCAACGAAAGCGGAAAGGAGCAGCATTTCAAACGCGCACTCGCGCGAGTAGCCGCGACGATCAACAGCCGTCTTCGCGCTGTTGACGCGCGCGCCTCTCGCCACCTCTCGCTCGCATCTGACGCGCCGCGCCTCCGGCCGTCCGTGACGTCACAGCGTGGCGCGCTGCGCGGCGCGGAGCGGCGTTACAGCTGTTTTACGTTTCGTGTGCACAAGAGCAACTTCGCCTTCTAGGTCAAGGCCACCTTTACGAATGGACGCTCGGCTCGGGGGGGGATCTCGCGCGATACGCGCGCACACACGCACGCAACGACACCGTGTGTCGTAATTATTCGTAGTAAGATGCGTAAAATGCGCGTCGCTATCTCGAACGACGATAACACCCGAGATCCATGCCGGTCCGCTGTTTACGCATTCGCGCGCGTTTTGCTTCCGGTCTCGTCCATCGCGTCACTCATCTCGCTTCCCTCTCGGTCGAGATCGGTTTAGCCCAGAGCGAGAGCGAATTGTTGTCCTCGTCCACTCGAAGCGATTACGTCGCGTGCGAACGAAGGCGGAATGTGCGGGACTTTTGAGCGTCGAAAGAATCGAACGTCTCCCCCCGAGTAGCACAATACATCAGCGCGATATTGAGAAACGTGTAAACCTAACGTTGGACCAATATTGTAAAATGCGACGCTTCCTCTTCAGACTACGGATTAATCCTTTCAAGCACACGAGGTGTGTCCTCGAAAGTATCCGACCTCAGCGTATATCTTTGTCCTTGGGCATCCTATTGTGGAAAACAGGCATTGAGTATTTAGGGTGGACCTTTAAGAGTACTCCGAGCGTCGCATTTTACAATGACTCAACGAGTCGAGCAGAGAATCGGTATTAAATTTTGGCAATTTCACCTCGAGAATTCTTTTCTTCTTCCGTAAGCACGCAACTGCGTACCGTTGCCGACTGAACAGCTGTTGGGTCGTGCCGCTTGGTGGGGGTACTCTTAAGCCTATCACACAATGCCAGGCAACAGGCAATAGGAATAGGGAATAGAATTTTTGACGCGTTGGATTGGTTGAACGAAAATTTCCGACGAATCCAACGCGTCAAAAATTCTATTCCCTATTCCTATTGCCTGGCATTGTGTGATAGGCTTTAAAGGTCCACCCTAACTACTGAATACCGGTTTTCCACAATAGGATGCCCAAGGACACTTTTGGGACGCACCTCGTATTTTAAACCTCGATAGATCGCGTTAGGCCTTGCATTTGCGCATAAACGCCATCGACACTTAACAATTCGAATACAGATTTGATATTTTTATTTTCATTGCAACAAAGTCACTGCAAAGTAACGATTCGTTACATTTTTAGCGAAAAAACTGTAACTAGATACTTTTATAAAGTAGCTTTCCCAACCCTGATAAGTCCCTAAATACCGTAATCAAACGAAAATGCTGAAAAACTTGAAAACTTAAAAAGTTCACGTACTTTGCATCCGCCATTTTGAGTCGGCTTTTTTTAATTTTGAAAATCTGACATAAGATTCGTGATGAGCGACCCCGAAAACCCCTTTGTACAAAGTTTTCAAGAAATAATCTTAAAAAACTTGGCCAATAATGAATTTTTTCGAAAAAAATTCAGTTTTTTCATATTTGTTCATTTATAAAAGTTTTACAATAAATATTAAAGACTACTCAACTTCTTTTGTATGTTCTTTTATTGCTAAGATACCCAAAAAATGTAAAAAACCCAACCTAAATGTGTTAACTACACTGAAAAAAATTTCTGGTTGAATATGGACGAATCTGTAGGATTACAGGAATTCTGGTAAATCCTAAAGGAATTCTGGTAAATCCTAAAGGAATTATCTGATTCGTCCATATTCAACCAGAAATTTTTTTCAGTGTAGAAATTACATGGCCAAAAAATAAAGAAGTTGAGGTAGTAACGTAGGTAACCACCGCATGCTTCAAAGGGTTAAGGGGGTCAATTCTGCATCTTACACTAGAGTGAAAATACTAAAAGCGAGTAGTAGCTTTGTCTCTTATTAACTGTCTCCTAAGAAAGAGATAAAGCCGCTGACTTTTAGCACTTTCACTATATTGTAAAATACAGAATTGATGTCGAGATTGAGATTAGATTGAAAATTGACCAATTATAGTAAAAGTCACAAAACTTGAGATTAGTAAACTTTACTCCGATTGGTCAAATTTCAATCTAATCTCAATTTCAATCCGCGGTCTGACACGGGCTTTATTTAGCCACTATGCTTACTTAGCAATGTTAGACCAATATTGGCCTTACATTGGCAAATGCTGAACAATGCATTTTCAATATAACCACACTGAAAAAAATTTCTGGTTGAATATGGACGAATCAGATAATTCCTTTAGGATTTACCAGAATTCCTTTAGGATTTACCAGAATTTCTGTAGGATTACAGGAATTCTGGTAAATACTAAAGGAATTCTGGTAAATCCTAAAGGAATTATCTGATTCGTCCATATTCAACCAGAAATTTTTTTCAGTGCAATATTGGAGCAGTGTTGAGCCAATGCACCGTGCTACTAGGGTCTCTCGTCGCGCTGGTACGCGAGTTGCTTACCCGCGCGGCGAGAAGCCGCCGAGCGAAAAGTGTTTTCACGAGTGCAATATGCGTAATACATAATACATAAATTAATCAAAGTCCAATCGTGGAATACAATGGAAATGGACGCGCAACGTGTCGTACGAATGACTGCTAAATTGATTTCGCGCTTCTCACGGAATTTACCTCTGGTTTGCCTCGGATATTTTTACGCGAAAACCTCTATTATGCACAGAGCTAGGCTTTATAATAACCGTAACGGAAGTCGTGCACGACACAAAACATAGAATTCGCATACACACATATACATGTATACGCATTTACACATTTCTCTCTCTTCCCTGTGAAAAGAAACGCAGGGAGACAAACGCTGTTCGGGGGTGGCTTGGCTGATTGATCTTCGGCGGTTTTCATTGTCTGACCTTTTCGCGGCTCTTTTAATCTTCAGACCGCTGTTTTGGCATGTTTGTCTCAATTCCTGGCCCGCTTGATCTCGGGCCTTTGGTGGAGGATGGCCACTTCCACTCGGGGACAGTGATGCAGTTTGGGAACGTCTGCCACATCGCGACAGCGGTGGTGGTGATAGAGTGGGGATGACTCCCGTGCCGCACACAAGCAGCACGTAGCATGTATGCGGCCATAGACATAGTATATCTAGACTGCTGGTTCTCTCAAATTTCAGGAGTGGGGGTAGAGCTCACGTAGAAAAGGATGCACTCTGTTTCGTGTCTGTGCGTTCTCTCTCGCACAGGTTAGTAACTGCTTCCCTTATCCCCTCTTTTC